AGCAGGGTCAACATGCGGCCGCGCGATCCATTTCAGCACAGCCCTCACACGCGTCTTGGCCACATAAGGGGGGCCCACCGAAGGCCCCAGCGGCAGGGTCTACACACGTCCGAGAGACCCACTGCGGCACACCCCTCACACGTTTGGTGGCCCCAAAGGGAGCCCCACCGAAGGCCCCAATGGCATGGCTTACGTGCGACCGCGCGAACCATTCCTGCATACCGCTCGCACGTTTCGTGGCCCCACATGGAGCCCCACCGAAGGTCCCAATGGCAGGTTTTACATGCGTCCGCGCGGCCCATTTCGGCGCACCCCTGACACACTTCGCGGCCACAGGGAGCTCCACCGAAAGCCCCAGCGGCAGGGTGCACATGCATCCGCGCGACCCATTTCGGCGCAGCTTCACACGCTTCGTGGTCCAATGGGGACTCAACCGACGGCACCAGCGGCAGGGGGCACAAGCCCTATGGAATTTGGCCACTTTCAGGTCGGCCGATAAACTTTGGGTCGGCGCATGGCCGAACCCGAAAGCTTATTTCGAGGAAGTCCTCTGCCGTTTGCTCATTTCCGGGTCAGCACACCGCTTGGGATTTAAAATTTGAAATTGGGAAGGGGAAACCAATCCCGCGACCCTGGGCGGGGGTTAGGCTCTGCCCTTGCATTGTACTGGACCCCCCCGGCCAAACGGGGCGCTGGGCTGCCCATCGGCGCGCCGACTCTGCCCTCGCGACATCGCCACCATCCGCCCTCGGGACCCGCGAGTCTTGTCCCGCGCGCGCCACCCCAGATGGCCGCGGCCGGCACGGTGGCGAAATTGGGGGAACTTTCAGACCGGCGCAGTACATTCATTCTATTATATACTTATATATGTATATATATATATACACATATATATATATATATGTAGAGATTGATGATGAGATCGACAGACGCAGACATGGCCATACACAGAGAGAGAGAGAGTGGTAACGGGTCCAATGGAAAGGTAATGATAACGGGTGGTAGTGATTCCCATAGATTTGTAGCCAGATCATCAGATAAGTTGTGCGTTCGACTGGACGCTATTCGCAAACCGAAAGTTGCACCCACCCGCCCCGAATTTCCTCACCAGCCGAACAGTGGTTCTACCTGTATGAAACGAAGTGTTTGGCAAAGCAAAGTGGCATGAATTACATTGTGACGGCCCGACGGCCAGTGCCGCCGACCCTGAAAGACATCGACGACGACCAGGAGGGGGAGGAGAAGGAGAAGGAGGAAGAAGAGGAGGCGGAGATAAGGAGGAGGAAAAGGAAGAGGAGAAGGAAGAGGAAAAGGACTCCCCCCTGGGCCCCCCCTCCTCCTGGGGAGGACGACCAGAGGAGGTGAATTAGATTCAAAGGCGTTTCGTTCGTTACGCGGGCAAGATGAGGGAGGGCGCAGTGCACAGCGGGCGCTGTTCCAGCCGCAAGCCCGGGACACAGCGCCCGTGTCCTCTTTACCCCGCGCGTTGGTTTGAGGCACCGACTTCCCGAACACGTTCTACGGGTGGAGGGCACAGGGTGAAATTGGAAATGCCGCTTCGATGGATTTTCGAGGCCTGAATCTGCAGAAGGCGAATCACAGGACGGATTGATCTTCGAGGTGCAAAAGCCCAGGCGAATTTCACCCCGAGCCCTCCACGCCACGAAAGTGCTCAGGACCTCGGGCCGAGCGCCCGGCGAAGTCGCCGGCCGCCCTGCACGTGCAGCCCCACGGCGGACCGCGGCCCCCTTTCGGACATGCGCGTGGAGCCACCACGCTGCCCGCGGCAGTGGCGGGCCCGCCCCCGCGAGGCCCGGACGCCGCGAGAGTCCATGGAGATCACCACGTGGCGGTCCGGAGCCCTGCTTGATGGCCCCTTCCTCGGGCCCAAGACAGTCGGGGCGCTGAAGAAGGAACCATTTTCGCTTGGGAGGGGCTCGGTGTTCCTTGAATGTTTCAAAGTTTGCCTCGGGTTTTCCTGAGGTCTTCCATCGGAAATCGAGGTTGAATGTATGGGAAAAAGGGGCCTCGCTCCTTATTTAGGGTTCCTCAGGTCAATGCCTCGACTGTACTCCTTCCGGCTGAACTCTTGGGTTTTACCCGGCTTGATGGCCCCTTCCTCGGGCCCAATGGCCCCTAACCGTTTTTGTGAGGACTTGAGATGCGTCCTATAAGCCAGCACGCGCTGCGCCGCTGCGCGCGCCCGTCCGGTCGGCGCTGCCGTGCCAGCCCGCAGTCCAGACGTGCCTGGGGCCTCGGCCGCTCGCGAGCCCCGGGCCCCCAAAATTCACCGCCTACCAAACCACCCCAGCCCAACCCGAAGGCCTCAATTTGCCCTCCATTTCTAGTGGGGGAACGTTGAAAAAACCCGTACCCCCCCCAACCCGAAATTCGGGTCAAATTCGGGTCTTCGGGTTGGGTTGGGGTGGTCTGGTAGGTAGTCACACTCCTGGTTTGAGTCGGAGGTGGACAGACCTCCTACCCTGACACGACGATGAGCGAATTGGCCGTTTTCGGTTCGCGAGAGGGCGTCGCGGCCGTCATTTTGCGGGTCTGGGTCCGTCGGTGTCGGTCTCAGGCCGTTTTCATTGAAGCGAGGTTTATTAAAGGGAGGTTTGTCCACCGCCGATTGAGCCTCAGCCCAGCCGCGTGGGCCGGGGGGCCCGCAGAGCGGTGCGGTGACCACGCCGTGTGGTGAGCCAGTGGGGATTCGGGGTGGCCGCGCGGCTTCGAGATGCGGAGCGTTCTCCGCGGACCTCGGCTGCCTCGGCACGCCCGTTATGAAGCGCGGCACGTCCCGTGCTCAAGACGTCCGTGTCAACGCGCTGCGTGTTGACTCAACGTATTGGCCCACGTGTTGGCGAACGTATCGCGTCAGACCTACGTTTTCAGTCTACGTGTTGAGCTCCGTGTCAACATGCTACGTGTTGCCTGTTGCGTATCGGGGCAGCTAAGTCGAGGACGTATCGGGCGGGGCCTCCGAGGTCCCAAAACCGTTCGGTGGCGGACCGTGTGGCCGTGCGGTGAGGTCTTCAGGGGTTCCGATGTCACCGCATGGTCTGTCACCGCACCGTTTCTGGAACCCCAAATAGACGGAAGTTCGATACGAGCATGAGAGAGTTGTGGATATGTTTCCCCCCCGTCTGAGTGCGTCCTTCTGTCAGTCGCATGGGTACAGTCAGCTAGGCATCTTCGTGTCCAGAGCTTGCCTTCGTTTCGCAGCATGCTCGCCCGAGGGGGGGCGCCAATGCCATCTCTCCCATTGCAGAGGCACCCCTTCTTCAAGCAGCAGTACCGCGACTGAGCCTGCCAGCGCGCACTGGCGGCACCCGCTCGCGGGCAGGAGTAGGCGCAAGAGAGGAAGAGGGTTTTCGGAGAGGGGGGACGAAGAGACGGAGGACGAGGAGGGGAGGAAAAGGGTGAGGGGGGAGGGAAGGGAGAGGGATGAGGATGAGGATGTAGATGGCCGGGAGGGGGAGGAGGAGAAGGGGAGGGGTGGAGTTGCGGGAGGAGAATGGAAGGAAGGGGGGAGGCATGAGGATGAGGATAAAGAGGGTCGGGCGGGGAGGAGCAGAAGGAGGGTTGGAGACTGAGGAAGAGGATGAGGAGGAGGATTGAGGAGGAATGCGAAGAGGAAGGGGGGAGGAGGCGAAGGAACTGGCAATGGCCAGATGTCGATGATGACATGCCAGGTCGAGGTGTTGCTGGCCACAAGTGGAGTTATCGTTGTCTTGAAGATGCAGTGACATAAATTGAGCTGATGCTCACGACTCAACGACGACGCATCTTTTCTTGGATCTCGAAGCTTGCCCGTGCCCATCCTCGTCCTCATTCTCCTCCTCCTCCTCGTCATTATCGTCCGTATCCTAATTCACAGTGCCTCGTCATTCTCGTCCTTAGCGTTCTACTCCTCCGTGTCCCCCCCCACTCGCAGGCTGGTCGTGCCAGCCCTGAGGTCTTCAACCCCTATGGTCGACCCCGTGGTCCGCCCGTGCCCACAGCCTCCCCTCCTCTCGCCCATCGTCTCTTTCGCGCAGGGCGGCGAGCCAGGGATGCCGCGGCAACCCGAGAAAAGAAGCTCGAGACAGAATCGGTCGTGCACACTGGAGAGGTCGAATCAGCAGGGCGGCGACGGCCGGTCTGGACACTCGGGAGGGCCTCATTTGCGCAGGGCGAGCCCGAGGCTTACCCATGGCCGAGGTTTCCCCACGGCCTTCTCCAGCTCGTCCCCGCATGCCGTTCGGCATGCGTCTTCTGCTTACCTGTTTGAAACATGTCCCTATCCCTATGTTTGGCATCACCTCACCTCGACGCCGATCTTAAGGATTCCCTCAGTTTCTGAGGGCCTATCCCTAAGATTGTCCTTGCTTTTTGCTCGCCCACCTTAGGGATAGGGATACGTTCGAGGCTGGTTATCTGCCTCGACCTGCAGTCGAGTCGGAGCTGGCGGGCAAGGCGGGCAAGGCCCCAACGCGGGGGGGCGAGGCAGGGCCCGGGCTCTCGGCCTCTTGCGGTGGCACGAGGCCGAGCCTGCCCTGCACGGGGCCGCCGCCTCGGGGCTCGCCCCCCGTTGTGGTGGCGCCGCGGCCCGCGCGCGCCCCGCATGCCGGTCTGGCCGGGTCGGCCAAGAGTCAGGAGGGGAAAAAACACACAGACACAATTAATCGTCGCTTCCCCCGAAAATATGGAAAATATGGGCAGTGGGGGTGAAGACAGACACCCAGAAAATATGGGAAAATTGGGGGAATCTTGTTATTTGTGTCTATTTATTTGTGTGTCCCAGTTCCCCTTCACAGAGAGCCGCGGCCCCCGCAGGGTCAAGAGCGGCGCGCAGCAAAGAGGGCAGCGGCTTCGCATCCCTGGGGTCAACGGCCCCGGGCGCCTCCTGACCAGCCCTGCCCTGCTTGATCCCATCCTCGAGAAGGCGTCTGCCAAGCGGCTGCGATCGTCGGGGGTGTTCATCATGAGGGTGGCTCTTCTGCTCTCCACTGCGGCGCGAGGCAGCGGGGCCACTGCGGCAGCAGCTTTGCTGGCAGGCGCCTCTTCGTGCCCACCGCGGTTCACCGGCCAGCGGCAGCGGCGCCGCGGGCCGAGCTGGCGGCCGACGCGGCGCAGCGCAGCCGCCAAGCCAAGATGGCCCCGGCGAGCAGATGGAGCTCTGCAGGCGTCGGGGCTCAAGCGGCGTCGATGCGAACGGGGGTCAGTCAGAGCATCGGATTGCTTGGAGACGGGGGTCAATGCAAGCGGGGGTCAGTCAGAGCGCCAGATCTTGCAGGATCCTGCGGAGCCAGGTTCGCACTGACCCGGGCTTGGGTGCAGGACACTGCGGGATCCTGCAAGGCCCGACTCGACTGACCCGGGTCTGGATTAACCCGGGTCTGTGGATCCCCGATGCAGGTGGTGCGGCGCAAGAGCGCCAAGTTCGAAAGACAAAAATCGGCATTAGCACACTTCCTCGGAGGTCTGCGCTTTTGTCTGGGACCTGCGTTGGACCCCACCCCCCTGGCGGCGCCTCCGGCGCCGCCCCTGGCGCGCTCCGCGCGACAGTGGTAGGCGGGTCCAGCGCCGATCAAAGAAATCTGCGGGGACCTCCGAGCGATTCTGCTTGTGTCGGTTCTTGTGTGTGTGTGTGTCGTTGCGCCCCCTCTTTCGGCCGCCTCCGCTGCCTTTTCCCCTCCCCACTGCCTGGTGGCACAGTTCGCTACAACGGTTTAGGTAGTCCTTCGCCAGCGCAGCTACTTTGCCTGGCCGCCGACGCCAAAAGGCTGTGCCATGTCTTGCTCCTCTACAGGTGCCGACCACTTCTGCCGTGGGCGCGCCCGGCCCTTCCAGGCCGGCCCCACCGCGGCCCGCGGGGCCCGCTGCAGAGGCGGGCCTCGCAGGGCCTGGCGGCGAGAGCGCCCGCTCGGGCGCGGGCGAGGAGGAGGAGGGGGAGGAGGAGGAGGAGGAGGAGGAGGAGGAGGAGGAGGAGGAGGAGGGGAGGGAGGATGATGAGGGGAGAGGAGGAGGAGGTGGAGGAGGATGGGAGGAGGAACAGAGCAGGAGGAGGGAGAAAGAAAGGAGGAGAGCAGGAGAAGGAGGAGGAGGGAGGAGGAGCAACAGAGGAGAGAGGAGGAGCAAACAGAGAGAGGAGGAGAGGAGGGCATGGAGGAGGGGCAGGAGGAGGAGGAGGAGGAGGAGCAGCAGGAGGAGGACACCCTGCATTGCCACGCACTATGTCACTCCTGCCCTGTCAGGCCACTATTATGTTTTTCCCCACGCTGTATTTGCTTTAGCTGCACCTGTCCGCGGCATATCTAGTTTGCTTGCTCCGCCTGAGTCGGCGCCCTTTTTTCTTTTGATGAACGCAACAAGCTTGGCCTTAATGTTTGCCCATCATAGAAGGAAGAGGGGGAGGAGGAGGAGGAGGAGGAGGAGGAGGAGGAGGAGGAGGAGGAGGACGAGGAGGCGGAGGAGGAGGAGGAGGAGGAGGAGGAGGAGGAGGAGGAGGAGGGAAAGGTGCCCACCGCTGAAGGCAGAAGGCTTCGCCAGGCGGGGAGGAAGGACGCGACCCCGACGGCAAAAGCCGGGAGAAAGGCGGAGGAAGGAAGGGGAGGGAAGAGTGCCCGCTGCTCAAGGCATGGGGGGGGCCATCGAGGAGAGCGAGAAGGGGGATGCCTTCTGCACGAGGCAGGAGAGAGGCGAAGGAGGAAGAGAAGGGAAGGGCGCCCGCTGTTCAAAGCAGGAGGGCGGAAAGAAGGAAGAGCACCCGCTGCACAAGATAGAAGGGTCGCAGAAGGATGGAGAAATGTCCGCTGCCACTCTGTGTGGGGGGGACAGATCTGCGTCTGGATCAACTCGACAGCCCATTTGTTTGGACTTCTGCAAGTTATAATTGTTCTAGGTCAAGAGCTTGATGCTGCGAGTCAGCGTTTCGCAGGCGTGTGGTTCCCATCTTGGCGCTGTTTGGTTTGATATTGAGCACGCTGCAGTTGTGGCTGTCGATGTTGTTCGAAGTGTCGAGCTGTCTCATCGGGCTGTCGCAGCTTGACCTTCGCGATCGCATTTCCCTGATCCTCATTATCGTCGTCCTCCTCCTCCTCCCCCCCTCCTCCTCCTCTTTCTCATCACCTTCTTCCTCCACTCCCCCCTTCCTCCCCTCCACCCCTCCCCCTCCCCTTGCATGTCCACCCTAGGTGCTCCGCTTGACAGTAGCACACGCAGTGCCAGCGGCACCCAGGCAGCGGACGAGGCCGCGGTGTATGGTTGCTCGTGGGAGCGCGCAGACTAGGCCATGTGCGTTTGCAGTACAAACATGGCGACGAGACGACGAACCACGCAGGATAGTCAGTGGCCGTCTCGAAGATGCGAGTTTTGTGTTTTGGGGCTGAGTGGTACGTACCTGCTCGAGCCAGGGTTCACAGCAGCTCGAAGGCCATTCGTGCATAGATGTTGATTTCTGTTACGCATTGATGGGTATGTTCGGCCAGAGCCGTTGGAACGAGGGGTTCCGCTCACGCGAACCCGTCTCGTGACGACCGCGTGTGGAGAAGTTGGATCAAGGCGCGCAGTTGTCTCAGACATTTGGCGGCTCGATCTTCTCGGGTCATGGGCACATGGGCCCGAGCCCGTTCCCAGGGTCAGGCTTTGCATCAGGATCCGATTCTGAAGCGCCTGATTCTAAGCCAGCATGGCCGATACATCAGCATACGGTATTTGACGAGGTCCCATTCCGTCGCAGTCCCTCCCTGAGGCATGCTGACGCTCGGGGGGTGCAAAAGGTGCCCTTGGCCCAAGGTGCCCCCAGCTGGTTGCCCAGTTTGGGAGGCACATGGGAACCTCCTTGGAAAATATGGGGGCACATTTGGGCCAGGAGGCACTTCTAGCATTACATCGAGCGTGTCCCTCTACAGGAGGAAGATTCCAAACTAGTCCAACAATAGTCTGGGGACGAATATTGGATGTTTGTTCTATTATGTTTGGGCATTGCTTGCGTATGTTGTTGATGTTTCGCTCAAAATCCTCCTGCAGGGGGCATGCCCGACCTAATTATGGAAACACCCGAAGCACGCCTTGAAATTCGGAGGTTGGTAGACCTCCTACACTCACACGTCGATTAGCGAATTGGCCGTTTTCGGTTCGCGAGAGGGCGCCGCGGCCGTCACTTTTGCGGGTCCAGGTCCGTCGGTTCTGGTCCTGGGCCGTTTTCACTAAAGGGAGGTTTACTAAAGGGAGGTTTGTCCTCCGCCGAGAAGTACCAATGCCAGCGGGCCCCGAGCAGAACGCCTTGGCTCCGCGGCGGCGCGCGCAGCCCCCCGCGCCCCCATCGGGGCGTGGCCCCCTGGCTGCTGGAGTGGGGGGGGGAGAGGAGCCGAGTGCCGCAGCGCGAGCGCCACCGTTGCCATGAGTATGCAGTATGCAGGAGGAGGAGGAGGCGGAGGAGGAGGAGGAGGAGGCGGAGGAGGAGGAGGAGGCGGAGGAGGAGGAGCCGGAGGCGGCAGAGGCGGAGGAGGCGGAGGAGGAGGAGGCGGAGGAGGAGGAGGAGGAGAGGGAGGAGTCCCGAGATGTGGACAAACGTCCCAGCTCGATGTTTCAAGCATCCGAATGAGTGTCACGCCTGAACCCCCTCACCTCCACTCAGGCCCACTCGTGCCTCAATGCACTCGTGCGCCGACAAGTGCTCACGCTCAGGCTTCCCGCACCCAGACACACTCGTCCACGCTCAGATTCATTCACGCTCAGACTCGCTCGTGCTCAGATTCCAGACATACACAGACTCACTCAAACCTTGAATCACCCACTCAGACTCACTCGTATTCAGATTCGTTCGGATTCAAGAACCGATCCACTCGTACGCAGCATGGCACTTGGGCATCCCACTGGGGAGCCGACAGAGGGTGTTACCTGGGCCCGCTCGCGCCCAGATTGCAGAGATGTCTCCAGCGAAGCACTGGTCCTGGCGGCTCGGACTTCTCTCGCTCTTGAGGACCCTGTAGTCACGGCGGTGCAGCAGGCATGGTACCTGGACAGCCAGGTGGGCGGGGGAGGCGGATGAGGGGGGAGCGAGGAGGGGTAAGGAAGGAGGAGGGAGGGAGGAAAGGGAGAGGAGAAGGCGGAGGAGGAGGAGGAGGAAAGGGATGATGACGGTGAGGGGGAGGAGGATGAGTGCGACGATGACGACGACGACGACGACGACGACGACGACGACGACGACGACGACGACGACGACAAGCAGCAAGGGAAGGGCTGGGGGTGGCACGAGAGCTGCTGCATGCATGTTAGTTTCGGCCCCTCCGCTGTGCACATTCTTCGATACACGGTGGTCCCTGCCGCCGGAAGCGCTGGGACGCCCGCTTCGAGCAGCTGATCCGCTACCCCCTCCTCGCGTGCGTCCCCCGCATGCCCTGGGGCCCGGCCCAGAGTTCCGAGCGTCGCGCACGAAAGGTCAAGGGAGGGAAGACCACCCGGACCCGACAATTGACGTTCATTAAGCGGCCCTGGGCGTGTACTACACGCCCCTGCCCTGTTCGATCCCTCCTGTGGGTGCGTTTGCTACTAAACGGCTTCGCGTGCCGGGGTGATTATTAGAGGAGAGGGGAGTGGGGGTGGCTGTTCTGCTCTCTGTCTTCCCCGGGCCTGCCCGCCCGCGCTGCCCGTGCGGGGTACCTCCCGTGGCGCGCTCGTCGCCGCGGCCGGGCCGCCCTCGAAGTCCGGGCCGCAGCGTGCCCCGTGAGAGGCCGAGCTTCGGGCGCTCTTGCTCGGCCACGCGCAAGGGAGGCCTCCTCCTCCTCCTCCTCCTCCTCCTCCTCCTCCTCCTCCTCCTCCTACTCCTCGTCCTCCTCCTCCACCGCCGCCGCCTCCGCCCCCGCCTCTGCCCGCGCCTCCGCCTCCGCCTCCTCCTCCTCCTCGCCCTCCTCCTCCTCCTCCTCATCCTCCTCCTCCTCCTCCTCCTCCTCCTCCGGCAGGGGGAGGGGGGAAGGCTTCTCAGAAGCACCCCTGCTTCTCAGAAGCGGCGGGCCTTGTCTGCAGACGCGAGGCCCGCGCCTGCCCAGAAGCAGCCTCCTCCTAAGTGGGAAGCCCTCCCCCCTCCCTCCACCCCCTTGTGCGCGCCGCCTAGAGAGGCCGAACATCGGGCGCCCTTGTCGAGAGCACGGTGGCCAGGCCCCGAGCATGCTCCCGCAGAGCGGCTCCGCGGCGATACGGGTTGCACACGAAGGCAGGGGCGCGGGGGCCCGCCACGCGGGCATGTGCTCGAGCCCGAGTGCTCCCGTCCAGCTCCTCGCCCTCCTGTCCCCCGCCCTCCCCAGACATCGGGCGTCTCGACCAAAGTGGAGACTGAGGTCTTTCACAATTTTCGGCTTCTCGGGGCCCTCGCTAGGCCTCGGGACCGTCAAGAAGCGCCTCGGGGTGAAAGCCCAGTCCCGGAGGGAAGGTCGGGAGGTCGGGGGCCCGTGTCTCGAAAGATCGAGACGTCGGATGTCTTGGTCTTTCCCTCATCATCCTCGCCATCCTCCTGCTGCTCCCTCTCTGGAGTGTTTAAGCTGATGCGCTTCTGGCTCAGGGTACTTGAGTCGTTATTATGGGGCAATGTCTCCCCTCCCGGGCAATGTGTTCATGGGGCAGGGCCGTCGCAATGGTTAGCGGAGCAGGCCCCGCAAAATCCGATAGTAATCAGGGCGTCGATGTTACGAGGGCGGCATCCGACGAGGAAAGCACACCTCGCGTTTCGACTATGACGATGCGTTCCCCGACTTCGCGTTCCCAGTTGCAAGGCCGAAGGTCGTTCCCCGACGTGACGTTGGCGAGCGTGCCATCGGTAGTTCGGCAAAGTGGACGGCAAGGGCAGCTAGGAAATCCTGTCGTCAAAATGGTTGGAGGAGTCGGAGCCCA